TGGCACCATCTAAAATCCAAACAACATACATCTGGGCTGCAGCGCTCGAGGTACAAATGAGCAGTGTTTCAAATGAACTGAATTGGAATTGCCTAAAACAATGCAATGTTTAAAACATTCTCAGAGCTACATAATCACCATGATTTAATTTTACATCGGAAAAAAATTCAAAGCATTTGCTGGTTTCGGTCTTCTTCCATGTAAAGATTCTTTATGTGTCATATGATCGTAAACTTAGGATTGCTTGTCGAACAAAACAAGACGTTTTAAGATGTCAGCTTGTAATTTGGTCAATTGCAATTTGTGGGGGGAAGATTATCCTAAAATTCAGGACAATAATGAGCTGCCATGACTGACACTTCATTTCTATCGCTCTGTTTGTATTTTGTATGGATCCTATATCACTGAATTTTACCATCAAGCCTCGAAACCAGCCAATAGTTGCATGTCTCCAGGTTTGCCGTTTGCCACGTGTTAGTAATTGCATTAAACGCATGTTCATTTAGGATGGTGGTTAGCATCATTGCCTCGCAACAAGAAGGTCGCAGGTTCACGTCCCGGTGAGGACACCTGGGATCTTTCTGCGTGGAGTCTCCATGTTCTCCCCGTGCAGCGTGGGTTCTCTCCGGGTTCTCTGGCTTCCTCCCACACAGTCCAGAAACATGCTGAGGTTAATTGGTGATTGTAAATTGTCCGTAGGTGTGAATGTGAGTGTGCTTGGTTGTCTGTCTCTAAGTGTAGCCCTGTGATAGACTGGTTACCTGTCCAGGTGAACCTGCCTTCACCCTGAGTCAGCTGGGATAGACTCCAGCCCCCCATGACCCCAGTGAGGATTAAGCGATGGATGGATGGATGGATGGATGGATGGATGGATGGATTTAGGAACTGGATCTATGGAAGTTTAAATTCTTCTGACATAACAAAACGCTGCAGTAACAAGAAGCGGCATCAAGACTAAACAACATGACGCAGAACATGCTGTAAAGCTCACATCACTTCAGTGTAAATTGTACTTTAGAGGTTTATATTATATTTTTAATTCTTCAAATCATCTCAAGCCAACTGCCACACACTGAACCTGGAGCCCTGGTGATCAGGCCACTTGCTTAATTTTCAGTTCCCTGCTGCATTTAATATTGAAGGAAAGTCCACATAGTTCACGTTTTAATCACTAAAGTGAAAATGGCAGGTGACTGACGGATCGATTTTGATGCGTATTTTCTTTGCAGAAATTAATCAGAGCAGCCAATCGAAACATCCGGGGGAAGTGTGGAACGGCGCACAACCTCTGACTACCAAGTGGCAGGGATCCCATCGGAGAAAGAGTCAAATAATTCAGAGCGTGCTGAAAAAGATTCTCCTTCATATACGAAAGAACATTTTGGATTAAAATCTACCGTGATTCAAATTCCTGAAATAATCCAGCAGCACCAATCCTCACGAAAAAAACAAATTCCGTTACTAAGATTTAGCAGCCGCCTTAATTTGCTAAGGACGTGCTTAATTATGGCTGATGGGTTTCCCCCTGTGGGCCATGAGCACAGCTCTTATATAGTTAATGGGAAAGGACAGCGTGCAAGGAGGAGGCTTTGTGAGCGGCTGCGAATGTTGTCGAGCCAAACAAGACGAGGCTCTGTGTGTGACTTGTTCCCAAGTGGCTGCGCTGGCTAATTAACTAAAGGGCTGATTTGTATTACACAGCTATTTGTGTCTGAAAGCAGGCTGCGTGGGAAACACAGTTATATATATGTAAACACACATGCAGGCACACAAATAACACTTCATGTTAGTTTAGGTGGCTAGATGTATTCCAGAAGCCACCTACCAGTTGCTCTCTCCTGGTTTGTTGGTAAATTCACCATCCAGGCTCATGTTCACCAGAAGAACAAAAACACAAGAGTCCAGGACGATACTGAACAGCCACAATACCCAACCCCACAATATTACTATAGTTATATTACTTTATTATACTTATTATGCAATATATCCATGAACTAAGAGTTTTAAGTATCTTGTATGTTCAATGCTTTGGCCTTTAATTATAATATAATCAGACCTTCTTTTTAAATAAAAACAAATCAACTTATTCTTTTGATGAAAGCAGGCCAAGATGTCAGAGATATTTTACAAACCCGACACTGACAGATGAACAGGGACTGATCTGGAGGTAATAACTTCCCTCTGCCTCAGGTCCAGCTCTGGAAATAAGGCCAACGGGGGGGAGAGTAAGAACTTTAAATGAGCTTATATAAATGTTCTGTATTACGCCTCAGAGTGGCTCATTTTTCTTCAATGTGCAAAAAGTATCACTGATGACTTTTCTAAGTGTGATAAGGCAAAGTAGAAGTAGGGCACACCTGAAATAGATGTGCCAGGTGTGCTGGGACAGAGCAGAGAGGAGAAAGTGAGGACACAGGAGGAAATAAGGGAGAGCCTGTAACAGCTGACAAAGTCATGGGGGACCAGGGAGGTGTTGGAGGGATGAAAGAAAGTCTCGCTCCTCCACTTTACACATCTGTGTGAAGCTGCTAATGAGGCCGTTAATTACTGCAAAAATGAATCTAATTAATTCCATAATTACTCATATTATGTGACTAGTTTTTTTTCAGGGATGGAAGTAATGACCTACAAATACCAGATTTTTGTGTACTTCCACTAAAGCATGTTTATTCTGAAGTCTTTTATTTAGCGACAATTTGAAAATCTTAATTAACTACAAACTAGACTAGAGACAGCAAGACAGAAAGTCTGTCACGGCAAGAGGTCAAAACGAAATGAAGCGCAAGTGAAAGAGTCAAACAAACAAACAACAACAAAAGAGGAGATAGAAGAGCGAAATGCACACCTAAATGAATCCCAATCAGTGACCTGAGGCTGAAGCTGAACATGCTCGGCCACATTAACAGTTCAGTTGTAAGTTCTACAAAAAGTGGCCGCTTCATGCAGCGCAGCCTTGTTGCTAAACTATATCATGGGAGGTAGACCCTTAAAAAACTCTACATCCAACCTCGATGAGGTGCAAGAATAAGGTTCAGAGACACAACAACAAGCTCACTGATGTTGTCACTAACTGTCCACAGGAATGAAAAAAGTACTGTCGCCTTGTAATGCAGTGTTTTGTGTGAGCACACTTCACTGTATCTAGAAATTGTGACGCTCTTATTTTGCTCTAAAACATTTGCTAATGAGCTGCACCTCTGTGTTGTCTTGCTCTAGTGAAGGTGCTGCTGTTGATTCTATGAAAGTGGCTGCTTATGTTGTTAGTGTAGCTTAACATCAATACATAAAGTCTAAGGACACCCACTGTGCTGGTTCTGTTCTTTGTTCTCGTCCATTCTAGTGAGGCTATACTGAGGGAAGTAGTTATACAAGGTGTGTCAGAAAGGTTCCAGGATGATCAACCAGCACGTCTACAAAGAGATCCTGCAGCGTTTGCTTCGTTCAGAGAAGAGGCAGAGTTGTGTCAGGACCAGTGGAGGCTGCTTCACCATGACAACCTGCTCACAGCGCCCTGAGCATCCCACAGCTCCTGGCTGAGAAGAACATCTCTGTGCTGGAGCAACCTCCCTACTCACCCCACCTGGCTCTGTGGGGTTTGTTCCTCTTCCCCAAGCTCAAGGGGGTCATCAAGGAGACCCGTTTAGAAGACGTGGACGACATCAAGATGGCTGTGAGGACGGAGCTGAGAGGATCCTAAAGAATCCTTCCAGGAGTGCATGGCGGCATGAAGAGAAGGCTGGAGGAGGGTGGTAGACTCCAGGAGGATTATGTGGAAGGAGAAAACTTGGAATTTGAACTATATCTTCTGTGACACCAGTCCTGAAACTTTTCTGACACACTTCGTATATTTACAGCTGATAATCACATAAGCGTTTGCTACAGAAAACTGACTCTTGTTTTGGACAGAAGGGCTCAGTGTGGCCCAGAGTGTCGTGATGTTTGAGACAAGAGCTCAAATCTTGACGCTTTCATGGCATCGACTAAAATGTGTCTTTAGCTCTGACTATAAGAAAGCGCCACATATTTTAAGTTGAAGCTGCTTGTTTGGTCAGAGACTCACTGCCGGATCAACTTTAGTGACAGCAAAACACATCCAGTTTAAATGCTTCAGCTTTAGATTGAAATCCTGATATTGCATAAATCTGCATCATAAAGGAACGATGAGAGATGGAGGGGAAATAACACAACTGGTGAGTTCAGCCAGAGGTTGAACTGAAACAAACTCTCAGACGCAGTCCCACAGAAATGAAAGCTGCATCTGCCGTTTACTCAGCTTGCAGCCATCATGTGTGTCGTCACTTGGTACACTATTGAAACACAAACAGTTCTTGGGCCAAATCTGTTCAAATGAAGTGAGCTAAAACCTGACTTGAACAACCTTTGGGGTTGTTAACTTCTTCTTCTGATTTAGACTGCATTTTGTTTTAAAAAGAAGACAGAAAAAGGCTTATTTGTTTCCATTTTCGACAACTTTCAATTCCACCTCACAACATTTTTCACTTGTTAAAAGTTATCCAGAAATATGACTTAAGGTTCAGGTACAATAACTCAAACATCACATTGGCCCTCGTGACAACATAACCTTGCACTTGTTAAGGAACCACAGAAGTATAACCAACAAATATACAGACTCATACGAAATACCCTGAAGTAAGTAGTAGCTCATAATGCACGTCAAAAGCCATTTCTATAACACTGCGAACATTATCTCGGTCTACAACAGCTCGAACAAGATTGCTTTTATGTGGCAGAAAATAAGGTCTGAATACCAAATTGATCTCTATTGTTAGCGAGCACTTCCTGTGTACCTGACAAGCGGCAGGGAGCCAGAAGTGCTGCTGCCCACTGAGAATATGAATGAAAAGATCAGTGACTCACAGCTGTGATTCAGCTATTATAGGTGAATAAGTTAGAAGAGGCAGTTAAAGACCAGTTAAATATGAATGTCACCATCACATGCACGTGTCCTGCATCGTTAGAGGCGCTTCTCTGACACTCACCCAGAAGTTGTTCTGAAAAAAGGCCATCTTCACTCAGAGATTCACAGCAATCTGTAAAAAAAGAAAAAGAGGTAGAGCAGCTTTAGAGAAAAGGCTGACGTCAAGACTTTTCATTTTCAGACTGTCTGACCTCTGCTTTCTCCACATAAGTGCAGGAGAGAATGACCTCCACGATGCCGTCTTTGTTTCCACTAACAGTCTGTGCGATGTGTTTATTTTCAGCCTTTTGTCTGCCCTCTGACAATAAACCGCCGTATCAAAGTCTCAGCAAATTGCACGCAAACAGGCTTCCAGAGAGTCCTGGCTTTGTAAAAAACTCCTGAGACACCTTCGGCGTAGGAAGGGAGCTCCTGAGGGAGGACACCGAGGAGCTTAACAAACGACTTCAAAGGATAAACTCAGAGGATGGAGGCAGCCGAGGGAGGAGGAGTGACAGGAGGAACGGGGGAGAGAGCAGGGAGGAACGGGGGAGAGGAGAGAGAGATCGATGGAGGGAAGAAGGCAGAGGAGATGGAGGGAAACCACAGAGGAAATGATGAGCACTTGTGAAACAGAGGGAGGCAGTCCTCGGCTAACAGCACACCTACCGACGCTTTTCCAGGAGAATCTGGTTTTGTTTGTAATTCAGGGCCGAGGCGATGCACCGGTCTGTATGAGTTCGCTGCAGATACCTGATTTAAAACTGTGTCAGCATTATTTAGTTTGTTCCCCAGAGTAGGGACACGTTTAGTTTTCAAATGGAAAATGAACTGAACCCCAACATTTCTTGGTGAATACAACCTTATCAAAAATGCATGTGAAACTGGACGATACATCTTTACTGGACTTTTTAAAACCCTCAAAAACTGCACAAACTGCATTACTTGGTGGACAAATAATATCACAACAGTAAGCAGTCAGTGAGATCCTTCTTTCTGTTCATTGAAGCTGAATCACTGGTTAGTTTGCATTTAGTGTTTCTTACTTCAAGGTCCAGTAAACACGCTGAATTCATCATGAAACAAACACAAAACAGTTTCAGTTTGTTGAGACTTGTTTCTACTAGTTGGTAGTCTTCTTTTTAATTGTCTCTGACAACACACTTCTAAAACCACAACCCGTCAATCAGGTGAACATGTGGTTTGAACCTCGCAGCAGATCTTGAGTTGTGTCACCGCCGCACGCACACGTACTTTTCTTTGACATCCATCGGCCTCATTTTGGCTGGCACATGATAACATTTACAGTATTCGTAAACAATCCTACATTTACACCAGACATAAGCAAAAAAATAAGCTTTCTGAAAATCTACAAAAATGGAGTTATCTGTTTCTGCAAATGAGCTCTTCATATGTACGATCTTACAGAAAAACACATATAACACATGATGAAGCACAACAGAGCAGCTTGTGATTGAGAAAAAACATCTAATTAAATGTCGCTCCTTCACATCCAGCAGCTGGCAAAGAGGCTAAAGCTGAAACTGGGTTTTTGCTTTAGAATCAAGTCCTGCCTGTCCTTTAAGTCCAAATAAGACTCGTTGGTGCCACTTTCATGTCTGTGTCGGATTACAGAGATATTTTAGATTCAGTTTATCACCAAGTTTAAGTTTTTTACTCATCACTGTTTGTTGTACTCTCGTGTCGGATGGTCAGATTTGACCACATGAAGGAAAAAACCCTGGCATGTTTTAATTTATAAATGTATTTTAGGCTTGCTTCCTCCTTATTTACAGGTTTTTATTTGTTCAAAAGCTGCAAGTGGTTCCAGTCTGCGGTCCCAGGATCTGCTGCTACTGTCTGTTCCCAAAGTTAGAACTGAACCACTTTTAAATGCTCCCTCTACCTGGAACTTCAAGAGCTGGTCTCTTGAAATACTTTTAAAGTGTTTATAAATTACTTGGAGGCAGAAACATCAGTCTGCAGATGTTTTGACAGATGATTATTTTGCTGGTTATGTTTCTGATCGCTACTGATATGTTGATATCTTCTAAATGTGAGCTCACCGTGTATTGTGAGTAGTGATGTCTGTATGATGCTGTTGTGACCTCGTCTGTCTGTCAGTTGTGCTGCTGCTGCCTGTCTTGGCCAGGACACTCTTGAAAAAGAGATTTTTAATCTCAATGAGACTTTTCCTGGTTAAACAAAATAAAATAAATAAAAAAGGGGACTTATCATGTTCGCTTTCAGCTTTATGTTTCTATTCTCCACTTGAGTTTCTTTCCATGAATTGTAGTTGTTGTTTTATTTAAATGTTATTTTGTTGTGCAGCCCCTCAGCTGAGCCTTTAACAGGCATTATTATGAGCTTCTGGCTCTTTAAGGGTCTGCAGCCTAAAAGCCACTTTCCTTTGAGGTGCAACGCTGAGTGCTTGTGAGCGCGATCTCATCCTCTGAGGAACATGGAAGTGGTAAACCTGCTAAACAACATTATTTTTCATTCTTGGTTGGAAATGGCAGTTTCTCAAATCGATCTGCACGCAGTCAGAATCTGATCCATAAAATGAGCGTGGACATCCGCAGCACCACAGGTTACAGCAGCACATCTCTGTTTGGTTAATGTAACACTCATTTCCTGACACAACAGTGAAATTAGTGCTTTAATCACATGCAGTCTATTTTTCTACATACGCACGTTTTGTCTGGACTCGGTACGTCAAAATGAAATCACATCAACGGGCTTTTATGGATTTCGTTTCTGTTGCTCGGGTCTGAACCGGGACCAGGACTATGCACTCCCACGCAGACCCACAATGAACACTAATATCAGGAGGTTTGTGCTGCTGCAGGACAGTTTTTAATTTCTCTTATTTCATGTGTTTTGGGTTTTCCAGCTCCTTAGAAACCCAAACTGAGCACAGGACTGGCAGGAAACAGTTTTGATAACTACATAAGCAAATATACCTCATCTTTATAAAATATCCAGAAAAATAAACTATTTTCAGGCATATTTTTGTACCATCAAAGGGAATGTGTACATGGGAGAAATGAGCTAAAATGCTGATTGAAGTAGAAAACAGCTGCTGCCAGAAAACACCAAAGGTAACGAAGGTAGTTCTGCTGTCACCAATACCTGTGTAGTAACTCCTTGGACTGCAGGTTATTTGGATGCTGAAGTACATTAAATGGTTGTAATACTACACAAGTTGACTGTTTTGTGAGAACGTGTACATAAATTTACCCAGAAGCCAGTAGTTTGACTTCATGGGCCTGCTGTGCCTGGAGAACATTTGCTGCCTTCAAACCAACTAAAAAAAAAAAAAAAGAAAGAAAAATGTTGGAAACCAGCTAAAGCCTGAGCTTTTCTCTCACAGGCATTTCATTCACAAACATTTACCTCATTATTAAAATCTCTGGACACATTTGATGTGAAAACCACACTTTGTGACATCATATATATGATAGAATATAAGAAAATGCATATAAACATGTACAGTCGTGACTCGATAATCCGACACTAAATGTAAAACCTTCTTTTAGAAGCAAGGCTGTCGGACTGCAGACGGAGGTCCAGATACAAGGAGGGCTTGATGCTGGAAGGCTCAGTAGTTGTTAATATTTATTGTTCATAGTTGTTATAATAACTAGTAGGGCTGGTCCCAATAGAACTTTCTGCTCTCTGGATATTCAGGCCCAATTAATGATGAATATTCGGCGTGATCGGGGGACACTTCCACCCCGGGGCAGCGCTCTGACGGGGTGGAAGTGTCCAGAACACACAGGCAGTACTTGGCTGCTGATGCTAGTTTAGTTAGCGCTCACACTTCTGTTTCCTCCATCGGTGGTGGCGGGGGAGTGGCAGATACGCTCCACCGTTACCATCCATGTTTACTTCCATAAACACTGAGCACGCTCGCTGCGTGTGACGTCGTCGTGTCCTCTTCTGCGCATGCGGGACACTTTTGGGTCGTATGACGTTCACACAGCAGCTCACATACAAGTCGCATTGAACTGGAAACGTGAAGGAAGTCACAAAGAAATCCTCATTGAGCATCAAGTCCTGCAGTGTGATGTTAAGGCTGTTTTTATGGGTTCTGTTGGTTTTTCCTAAAAGCCTGTCAGATAGCAGGTTTAGGATTGTTAAAGGTCGATTATCAAGTCACGACTGTACTCTAATACTTTGACCCCTGACTTGTCCTGAATGCAGCGTTTTCTTGAGTGCAGCATTTCTAATTGGCCGGTATCAGGAGGAAACACACCCGCAGCAGCAGCAGCAGCAGCTCAGCATACATCACCTTTTGACCCCTCGTGCACAAACACGCACGCATTAAACGACAAATTAAAGAAACACAAACACATTAAAGAAGCACACAGCTCTGGAATCTGGCCCTGCCCTCTCCAAGAGAATCCATGAAGTGGTAAGTGTTTCCTCACCAGGGCTGCTCTCATACAGGGTTCCTGTGATCTGCTATTCTGCTGACTGTGTGTGTTTGCAAGTGTGAGAGTGTGTGTGTGTGTGTTTGCGTGTTTGCGTGTGTGTGTGTGTGAGTATGTGTGCTGACAGCAGGCCTTTCCTTGAACTGGCACAGATCTGTTCAGGCCTGGTGACCTGGCATCAGGCGGCAGCAGCAACACACATACAAACAAAAACAGTTAGACACACACACACACCTCACACCTTGTTAATTAGCTGAGCAGTGGGACTGGTGGAGGCCCCGCTGACAGCTTTCTGTTTGGCAGAGCAGGACAGAGAAGCAGAAACATGGCAGAGCAGGGCTGTATGATAGACAACGGGACAACACAAGTCACACTGATGAGTCAATATTTCCTTTTTTATCGATTTTCAGAGGAACTGTATCGTGACACGGGTGATGTCCTGTGATAGTTTTGCCAGACTAATGACTTTAAATGGCCAAAAATTAGTTGCTGATTATGTTTGTTGTGTAAAAAGGCTGCTTTGAGTAGTTCAGGAACCTATTAACGTTTAGCCAGCATGACAGATCTTGAACAGAAAATACATTCATCACTTTTTTTTTTTTCTTGCTCATTTCTGATTTGCGTGTCCTAATTAATACAGCGCTATCACCAAAGGATTCTTCATCGTTGGCCTTTTCTACGAGTCGGCTGATTAGCT